CATAATAGAGTCAGGAAGCTGGCACAATGGCATGACGGATCAGAGATGAGATCACTAGCCCACGTGCTGGGAGAATGTCAGCAGGCGTAGGTGTGATTCATGTGTTTAAAACAGAGATATTTTAGAGCTGAACCGCCTTTCAGCTGATAGTGGTATTGGCTGTAACCCATGTCGGCTGGGTGTATTTGGACATAATTGGTATAAATGAGTCTCAAGGACACTCCTAAAATAAAGGTACTATGCCTAATGCTGTAGAGGAACCACTGTGGTCCACAAATTGGGGTCAATTGATGTTAAAGTCATAGGTGATACTATAGAAGGCAGAAGACTTCTGTCATAAGGCCGAAGTGCAGTTAAATATCATATCCATTAGAAGAGCTTTGTATCTTATTACCAGATTCTCTGCTTTAGAAATAAGATCCTCAGATGGTCTTGGTTTATCATCAATTGAGAAACTATTTAAAGATTTTAATACACCTCGATTAACATCACAGCAACTTTATAAGGCACTGCTAGACTGTCGTACTGATGATGCCAGTAAGGTAAAAGCTTTTTGGGAGGTTAACCATGGTATTAGAATTCATGATGATTAATGGAAGCATGTGGTTTCTGGTCCAAGATTGTTAGAGAACGTATTAAAAAATAATTTGCTATTCTTTACAACTGAGGCCTAAAGCCCAAACCCCCTCTACTGTACAGTGGGTCAGTTTAGTGACACACCTTATTCCTAGAGAAGCCCTATCGACTGCTTTAAAGGATGCATCGTACAAATTTTTCAAAGTGTGGGACCCTTTTCTTAATTACCTTGAAGTGGAAAAAGCACAGAAGCTTGCTACTGGACTAACACACTTAGTGTGGAAATACTATAAGACATGAGAGCATTTGTTTTACCATTTTTAATTAGGTTTGGTGATGTATGCTGCACTTTGAAGGGCTATTTTACACACACACACAATATTTATTTACATTTTTTATGTATTCTCTTTATGTTTGGGAGAAGTTCTGTATGTGTGTAATGCATGGGTGCTCTGTTATGCCACAAAAATGCTTTAAAAATAAAAATGAGATCAATCCAACTTTATATCAGATGTCTGTAATACCTGTGTAGTTACACCTTAACAATACATGTAACAACAGTGAAACTACTGATGATGTGTTCACTGTTAGATGTAAATGTGTATGAACACATTTGAACACAACACTGTTTTTACTTGTTAGTATATCCAGACAGTTGTAACAGCATATTTTGTTTTATATAATTAAACATTGTTCTTTATCCAACCGCTTTTTTGGCTGTAATAGTGGGTGTGTAATTACGTATATTATGAGAGTACTTATGTTGTATCTGCACAAAAAAAAAACAGCATTTAGCTAGCTGTAGTCATATGCTTGTGTTGTGATGTGGTGACCTGACCAAAGTTCTGGTTGTAAACCATTCTGTAATGTGACAGTGTCAGTATTGATTCCACTTAATGGTGTTTTTAATAACTGTGTAGTTACACATTAATTATTATTTAATAACATATATCAACAGTGTAACTACTGGGGATTATTACTGTTACAGATGGATAGCAGTAGTACAGCTTATGTAAATACATGTGTATCAACTTCAGTTTTTACTTATGTAATTACACAAGTGCATCTTGATAGTTGTAACAGCATGTTTTCTCTTATGTAATTACACATGTGTAACAGGGTGAACTGCTGTCTTTCCAAGAAGACCTTTCTGATTGTAACAAATTGCAGAATGGATTAGAGCCAGAAGTTTGGTTAGGTTACCATGTCATAACACAAGCATATTCCTACAGCTAGCTAAATGTTAAGAAAGTTGGCATTTCCTGTGCAAATGCAGAATAGAAACACTCAGAATGTGGGTTATTATGTACCTTCTGTTACAATCAGAAGAGTCTTGTTGGAAAAACAGCAGTTTACCCCATTATACATGTGTAATTACATTAGAATTACATTAGACTAAATATGCTGTTGCAAAAATCAGGATGAATTTGTTTAATTACTTAAGTTACAACTGAAGATGATTCACATGTATTTACATCTGTAGTAATGAATATATCATCTGTAGTTACAATGTTGTTACATGTATTAATGTGTAACTACACAGTTATTAGAGATACTTAATATAAAGTGGGACCATCTCGCCAGGGGATTCTTGATTTTATTCTTTTAAAATGGCTTGACAGCACTGGAGGTGACCCGCACCACATGAAACATCAAAAACAAAGGTAGCCCACTATATACACATCACATTTCAACAGTACAATGACTGTTGCACTGAATATTGTTTTACTGAAACAAAGGACAGTAGATTTGTCTCAAGGTGCTTGTAAACAAGGCCATGAAACCGGCAAAGTTACAGCAGCATCTGATTATAAAGCAAGTAAAAGAACTTCTCAGACGTAACAGAGAGGGAAACAATCTTCAGACAGACTGGTGAGCCTGGACGCAATCAAGAAAACGCCAGGGGCGTCTCTTAGAGAAGCTCAGCGGGTTACTAAAAGCACCAGCTCCCATCAAACAAATATGATGGTCCATATTTGTCTAATATTTCTAACAAACAGCTGGATTGTAATTAATAAAATCAATAGGGACGCCTGGCTTCACAGTGTCTGAGAATTCCTGTCCTATGGCACCTCTTAATTGATGGTTCTTTAAAAGAACCGCTTTTGTGAATGACCTGAGAGGGTGAACAACGTTTTAGTTTAAAGCATCTCCATATAAAGCATAGGTTCTATACCAATTAAACGTTTTTCCTAGAACTGTACATCCAAGCCAAAAACCATTGAACAAAAAAGGGCCGTGTGTAAAGTAACCAACATTAATACATGATGTTTTTCACTGTCTCGCTCTCATAACTACATAACTTACATATTAGTTTCATAGTTACTGAATAATTTATAGCAGTTACTGAATAATAAATATGAAACCATCATTATATCTGTTCTAAACATATGCCTGCCTGCATCCTACAGAGCTGCTGGAGTGGCGTCTAGCTTGAGCTTTTCAGTTTAAAGAGTAGAGAACACACCTTCTGATGATGTATCTTGAAGGCAGGAGGAACTTGTGAAAAACTATAACTGCTTTAAGGTGGATTTTGGGGGACGGACATCCATATAACTGTACTAACTGCCTTCAAATCATCTTTACAGTGGAGAGAATGGATACTGAAATGACCAAAATCAGGACATCAAGCTAATTGCTGAAGTTAGCAGGGTAGCTGGTTGGCCATCTAGGTATTTAACACCATTTGGCTTCTTTTCTCGGGCTGAAACTCATATTTTGTGTCCATTTTGTGCTGAATAAACATTGAATCGCTGTTTTCTTTACAATGTTGTTTGACAACTGAAGTAAGATTTAAATACTCCTCTTCTGAATGTGACTTAATGAGTGTTTGAAGTAGCTGACCCCAAACAGCCGGCTGGCTGAAAATCATGTAAATGTAATTAGCCCACATGCTCCCTTGTTTATAATTCACAGCTGATCAAAGGGACCATATACTGAGGCTAACGAGAGCAAGACGGTCTTTTCAGTAGCCCTTACAAAGGCCTCAGAGCAAGCGGCCTCAGTATCAGCAGTCTTGCCAGTGAAAAACACATTGTTAAAGTTTCTGGCCTTTGATCTGGTCTTCTATTAACATAGCAAGATGCTGATCTCAACAGAGATCCACAATTAAGCAAGATGGAAACAGCAGTCAGATACCAACGCTACCCTCACTCTGTGTAACATGCTAAGAAGGATTATAATGATGCAGTGAGCAACAGGGGTCATATATATGCAGCATTGGGCAAAATACTTTCAGAATATATTTAGAATACATTTATATACATCTTGGTAAGGTAGATGGGATTTTTGTACTTAATTCACACTGTTGTTTGCTGTTACTAGTTGACACTTTTCTTCATGTAATTATTCGGCCCCAGGATCCCATGAGCAATATAGTACAACACCAGTGCTAAACCTATCACTCACAAACATCTGCACTATTGAGATTATTAGTTTAATCATCCCTCAAAAGAGCTTGGTAACATTGGTTTGTCAGTCTACTCAGGCTTTAGCAGAGCTCAGTAACACTGAGATTAATAACTGATCATCACATTGATTTATCAGTCTACTCAGGCTTTAGCAGAGCTCAGTAACACTGAGATTAATAACTGATCATCACATTGATTTATCAGTCTACTCAGGCTTTAGCAGAGCTCAGTAACACTGAGAGTGATAACTGATAATCAGATTGATTTATCAGTCTACTCAGGCTTTAGCAGAGCTCAGTAACACTGAGATTAATAACTGATCATCACATTGATTTATCAGTCTACTCAGGCTTTAGCAGAGCTCAGTAACACTGAGGTTAATAACTGATCATCACATTGATTTATCAGTCTACTCAGGCTTTAGCAGAGCTCAGTAACACTGAGATTAATAACTGATCATCACATTGATTTATCAGTCTACTCAGGCTTTAGTAGGAACTTCAGTGTTTGTAAAGAAGCGGTTAATTGAGGTCCTCTTTAGAATTTGTCAAATGATTATTTTTGCTACATGCATAGCTAAGATGGATATGAGTTGAACATGCATTGTTGGTGTTTCTTTTGAATGTTGTATTTTTTTCATTCATTGGGTTAGTATTCTAAAAATGTGTCTAACAATGTAAAAAGTACCCAAATTCTAAATACTGCCTTTACAAAATGTAACTTGGACTACAGATACTGAATCCAGACACTGAATTTCTGTATTCAAAATATGTATTCTGTTACATTCGAACTGTGTATGATATAGTATATATATAGAGGTGTGAAAAAGAACTTCAAAAATGTAAAAGTTCTAATTTATTTATTTGAAAAAAAAAATAACGCAAGCCTCTTATAAAGAATGGAAGAGCTGTAGCAAAAGACCACACTAAATACTGAAATATTTGATATATTATATATATATATATTTAGTACTTATATGCATGTCATGTTCACAACTTTAATTTTGCACCCCAGGTCCAGCAGTCCCCGTTGGTGTGGATGTCCAAGTGGAGAGTTTGGACAGCATCTCAGAAGTGGACATGGTGAGTTGATAACCCCAAACTTGTCATTTTACTTGTATTTCATGGGTCTCAGTCCTGATAAGAATTTTCTACAATATATTAACACCTGGCTACATAAATGTGTCTTGGTCAGGCTGATAGAACTCTAATTAGCATCAGTGCCTTCCCTTAGTATGTACAACTTTCAAGAAATTCTCTTCTGGAATCTCTTGAGACGATCCCAGACCCCATATACATTCTGTTCTGTCCAGTTATGCATTTTATAAGAAGTATAAGTAGAGATGGCTTTAGTTTTTATGATGCTCATGGTGTAAAAGGCAATAGAAGATGATGTATGCCGCTCTTGTTTAGCTGTCTGTCATTATTTCCGTAATGAAACAGCTCTATGCAGTAATGACTACATGTAGAAGGAGTAGAGATTCTTTATACAGCTTGACGAACAAGATACATTTCCATATGGTTGCGCTGCATCACAACACATTTCAAACCACATCCAGAAGCGTCTAAACAATCACTTAACAATTTGTCTCCAGTGTGGCTGTATTTACACTTAGCCTACTCACAATTAGACAGCTTTCTAAAATGACTGTATAAATCTAGTCTTTGAGGCTGTTTATACTTTGCATCAATGCATTTCTGCTGCAGCTCATAGCTCTGCCAGGTTCCATACAGCTTGAAATAATAAGCATTTCATTTAGGGAAACCTTCAGTCTGATGGACAGAACTGAGTGCTACACACAGTAAATACAGTGTTTAAAGGATGCAGGCAGAATAGCTTCAAATGGCTGGATAGTCTATAATTTGTATGGCAAATATGCTAGCTAGAATATAACAAGTATGCTAGCTAGCGCAATAGCTAATTTTGTTGATGTTTGTTAGATTGTTAACTAAGTTATCTGACTTGTTAAACTGGCTGAAGTTCTAGTGAGTTACACCTTTAGCTGGATTAGCTATTATACTAGCTAGCTAGCATACTTGCTAAACAAAGTTTCAAGGTTTTTTAGCCTCTTCCTTTAAACTCCTTACCACAGAGGTTCTCAACCTTTTCCACCTCTATCACTGAGCATTCAATATCAATGGATTAGGCAAACATAAAGTTGTTTCATACCTGAAATCAATCAGAATGGTAGCAAACTAGGCTAAAATCGTCAGTCACGAGTGAACGATTGATACTGTGGTACCGTTTCTTGCTTTTAGAGACTGGGGCAAAAATACATGCTGCTTTGTGCACCATTGTTGCATGACTTGTATAAATATTGTTTACCATTTGAGAACATTTTATATTTCTTTCTTACTATTAAGTCATTTTTCTTACTGATTTTTATGACACAGCACCATCACTGGCCCACTATGGACCACTTGCTTCTTCTCAATATTGGTTTGAGGACCACCAGAGGGTGCTTCACAGCCCACTTGTGGTATGCAGCCCAGTGGTTGAGAAACTCTATCCTGAAAACTGAAGGTTTTTCACTATTTGAAGCCACGTCAAAGCTGACAGGTTTTAGCAGTGGTTTACTTTTGTACAATGCAGTGCCTGAAGCTAACAACAACACTAAACTAAGATTCTCTGCTAAAAAGTGACCCAAGTTGGACTTGCATGAAGCAGCTTATAAACATCATTGCCCTATAGCAGTGGTTCCCAACTTTTTCAAACAATCTAAACCACAACCGTTTGATGGCACGCATGATTAGCTATGTTTTGCTGTTGGTGAGGAATTTCTTTGTCATGGCAAAGCAAATGGCCAGCCTTATAGCCTCATTCGCCACTAACTCTTCTGTGTGTACCCCACATAGTGGATTTGGGCCAGTGCAATCCCCCAATGGCCAGTGTCATGATGCTTTTTTTTTCTTGCTATCACTTTTGTTCTACAGACTTCAAAAAAGATGGTTTTATATAGAACCATGAACACTCAAAGAGCCATTTGCATGATTAAAGCGTTATTTGCACTGTAAAATGGTTCTTCAGATTGATGGAGAATGTGCTATAGACGGTTATATATGAGACCTTTTTGTAAAGGGCTCTATATAGCACCAAAAAAGGGTTCCACTATTGTTGCAAGCCAAAAAACCTGTCCTTGGTACTATATAGAACCCTTTTTGTTAAGAGTGTAGATGGCTTTTTTGTTGGTTTGAGGCCCAGTTATACTGCTAATGACATGTGACAGCACTTCAAAAGAAATTTGGCAGTAGAGTATAATTAAAATTTTACTTTTTTTATTAAAACTAAATTGCTGTAGTCAATAAAAAGCAAAGAGAAATCATTTAGCCATTGTAGGTTAAGTTAATGGGTGAGCTAATGCTAGATCTAACAGGTTAACGTTAGGGGAGAGGTAGTCATCATATTCTATAATAAGGTAAACAATTTTCTGCTCAGTAGATGCAAATATGTTGGCTTGTCAAAGCAATATTGCGAATGAAAAAAGCATCTTTCCTAACTTTATTCGTCATAGTTAGCCTAGCCATAAGCTTATCAGTCATGTCTATGCCAAAGCCGAGATGTAACTACAGCAAAGTGCAGTAAACTTTTGTATACCATCAACTTCTTTTGATAGTTGCTTTTAACAGAGGGCTGCACTCTTAAAAAGGATAGTTGTTCAAGGATTTTTTTGTAAAGAAAATATGATGTTATTTTATTCATGCTCTGTTAGATTTTTGCGAACTTTCAGCGACAACAAGAATTCACTGACCAATCACTATCGTCTTTGCTGTTGCCATGACAACACCCAAGCTGACAGAGCAGCCGTCTCCCATTGACTGGATCTTATTGACAAATGGCAGAAGGATTTGTTCACCTTCTGCTTCCTCAGGGATGCTGTAAGCATCTCTAGAAGCAGCTCAAACGGGGCTCAAGCTGGTTTACAGATATCCAAGCTGTATCCGAAGGCTTTAGTAAAGGAACAGCTCCTGGATTAGGTGGTGAAACTCTTCATGCTCCTTTTACTTTTCCAAAATAAAAGTAGCCCACCCAGTGTCACCATTTGCTGGCTTTGTGAGGAGCATTAGGTATCTTTGTAGGAAGTTTTTGCTGTATTTTCCTCATTTTGGTTTATACTTGGTTTTCTTGGTTTTCTCAATCTGAGGTACGGACACCGTTTCACTAGTAGGTGGCCCAGCCTTGGGGTCTTTCCTTTTGAAACCCCTTGTTTGGGACCATTTATACTTGATGGATGAGTTCTATATCGCCGTTGTCGGAAGAATACCTTGTATCTCCAACATGGTACCTTTACAGGAGAAGGAAAAAAAATTACTTTTAATGTAAGTCAGTGGAACTTTTTTCAAGTCATGTTGGCCCGTATCTTTTGGCCCATTCATCATGAAATGTACACACAATGTAAAGGGCAACAGATGCTTTTAAATGATGTCAAAAACTGAAAAACTGGTTTTTTTCTGACAGCAGCGATATGATCAACAAAGAGAAACACTTTACACTGATGTGCACTGAAAATGTAAACACAGCAAGCATTTTGCCACACTAATAAATGAGGTCGGCCTAAGTGTCATGTTCACTTTTTGCAAATAATTAGCCAATTTTTTAAAAAATGGTTAAATGTCTACATTTAGTAAAAAAATGCAGTTTGCAAAAAATGCAAATTGCATTCACATTAAAAATAACAAACTGCCCAAAAAAAACATCTGTAGCCCCCTTGCACAGATTGAAAACCACTGTTCTATGGCATCGCCCCAGTAAGCCCTTTTTTGTAGGCTTTATGTTTGATCAACACAAGAACAAAACATTAAGAAACTGAGAAGATATGCCTTCCACTGCCACTGACCTCAGAAGATTCTTGAATTTGCACTGTGACGTTGTAGCATGCTGGAACGGCACGCTCAGCCATGCACATCATATCAAACTGAGGGCAAACATGCAGTCCGATGTGCACCACAAACAATATTAAGCATGGCCCACTGAGCTTCAGTGCTGCCACTAAATGAAGCCAAACCCCTTTGCTCCCTTTTAGGTCTGAATTTGAATAAGACACTGAGACAATAAGACGAAGACGTGTTCACTCGTGCTTAGCGACCTCTTTCACGCGAGCGTATGAACACAGCAGGGCAGGTGAACTGATTTTCACTGCTTTGACTGTTAAACAATGCACAGTGTGACTGAGGAACACTAAAGCTAGTGTTCTAATGTGGGGCCACGTGCTGGTAGCATGGTAATTAAATTAAAACGGCCTTCTGTTCTTGCCCACAAATTGGACTCAAAACTGTCATCATGATGTTGTGTAAGCTTCCATGTGGGAGGACAACCAAGGATTACGTTTAATTTGGATCATGGCTTTTTTTATAGAACGATATTAAAGCAGACAGTATGAATAAATTCTGTCAGTTGCTGCTGCTGGAAGGCTTCTAAATAAGGTCCCAGGCAGTTTGTGCCACTACTCTATAGGCCTAGCCTTGCCTAACCTAGCTTAGCAGCTGCACGCATGGGTCTATTCAGCCCTGGGAGCTTCTCAGTGCTGGAATATGGGAAAACACTGGGCTTGGGTTTATTGTATTGGTGCTAATGTTTACGAGTGGCAGTGGAGATTTGCTGTTATGTAACGTGGTAAGGAGGGAGCAGAGGAGAACCAGCTGCTGGGGGGTGTTGAGGATGGCGTAGTCCATGGGGTTTGACCAATCAGGATGCCTATCTGCTATGGCCAGGGCACATTCTGTGATCTTGGCTAGTGAGGAAGCAGATATGCTAAACTCATGCCAACAGATGGTAATATTGCAGTTTTGGAATACAGTGATTCCGCATGGCTTGCCAAATCTGATGCAGAGTAGAAATTATAAGCCCCTTTAAGGGGAATTCCATCGATTTTTCACAGTTCTGTATTATTTAATGAGTAGCAAAAGGTTTTCAGAGTGGGTTCATGTGCTCCATTCTAGAGAAACCTAATGAGTTTACATTGGTGGTAATTGGAAGCAGACGTCCAGAGCATTTAATGCCTGTAAAAGCTGCTCACAGAAAGCCAAACATTAGGATTTTGATGCCTGATAGTTTTGAGACAAGTTTTAGGCCTAAAATGGATGTTTTTTTTAAAGTGATGCTACATGGAGGGTGTAAATAGGCCAAAAAATCCTAAAGAATCCTTTTTTTTTCAGATTTACCACTATTTTATCACTATTAACATTGTATATAAAACCTCAGAAAGTGTGTTTTTAAAAAAAGCCACGACATGAAGTTTGAGTTTTACATTCCATTCCCATTATCTGATTACTCAAGTGCATGTAAACGCGTTGATCGGCTCACTCACAAAATCTGATTTTCTTCAGCTATCGTATTATTAAGTGCATGTATACGCACCCAGTACGTTTCTCTATAACGGACAATTCCAAATCAAACCACTCTGAATTACTTATTTCAACAATTGTATTATGCAGAAGTTGAAAATCCACCAGCAGGTCCAAACATCAAATGCACATTTCTATAACTAAATGCTAATTTGCATTGTAGTCTTTGTAGGTGATGAATAATAAGCACTGAAAAAACATGGTGCTTTGAATGGACATGATTAAAGTGTGTCAGGTTGTTGCACATGAAAGAAACGTATTGCATGAACACTATAATTGTCAAACCAAGTAAACTTGAAGAAAGCCATTGTGTTGATGTAACATCATTTCTTTTTGTGCAACCACTTAACAAAAGAATGACCCGTGTACTAATTTTCAGTGAGCCTTAGGTTGTAATAAGGCTGGGATTTTAAGGATCTGTCTATGGGCCCAGGCTTTAGGTTGCCACTCTCTTTACTACATAACCAGACAATTATCAGAAAAATTATTGAAATTATGGACTAAAAAGAGAGGATTGTTTATTTTTCTATATTTTTCCTGTATGTTTATCATGGTTCAAGGTTAAAAACAATAATAAGTCTTGCACTGTGTCCTACTATACTGCCCAATTCTGGCTGTGCCCAAAAATAGTGAACAGTATGCAGCAAGTGACCAACAGAAATTTCTCCAACATGCCAGAAAAATGTCATATTTGAGTGAGTTCACTGTAACCTTTGCAACTGTTGGCAGGTTTCAAACTGAGTTTTTTTTGTAATTTTACACTGTATTTTCTTACTAAAATACTTCAAAAATACAACTTTTAAAGGAAAATAATAATCTACTAGGTTCTACATTGTACACAATATGTTTATCTTATCATTGAGTAGGGAGAATGGGGTTGGATAAGTTTCTAATGGGCCAAATCAAACGTTACCTGCACATCTGGGGCCTATTAGGGTGGGAACAAACTCAGTGGGATCTCAATGTAGGGGTGATGATGCACTCATCAACATTGTCAAGCTAATAAACAGTAAGCCTGCCCATGGAGGTAATGCAAGTTAGCACGACTTAAAAATACCCCCAGAAACTCCTGCTCCTAAACAGGTAGATGTGGGTAGCATGTGCAGAGAACACATTACATGAGTAAGAATAAACATTACCTCTTACAGGGGAAAAACAGTTCTGTTAGCTAATGATAGCATGTTGCTAGCTAGGCTGTTTTGCTTGTGTTGTCATTGTATTACTTTTGTAGTACTTTAATTTTGGGGTGCGTTCTGGGGGGGTTTTATAAGTGGATTTTGTCACAATCTAGGAGTTTAACAGGTTGTCTCAATGTGTATTCTCAATGTATAGTATTCAGGCAAGTTATAAGCATGTAATAAAAGTGAACTGAATCACATTTTTGCAAACATAGGGAAGCACAAGTGTCTCTAGAAACCACTCAGGTTTACCACACATGAAAAGAAATTTTGTAAGATTCTCCCTTAAGGTACCATCCATGGTTCTTTTATGAAATCCCTCCAAAGACCCCTTTTGGGCACCTTTAATTTTAAGATTATAGACAATGCAGCCATTTTTATAGCAGTCAGAATCCCGATGTAACCCGAGTGCTTCTGTGAGGAGACTAACCATCAATATCTCTTTTTCAATACTTTATTAGAGGAGGGATGTTTTGTCTTCGTTTGTGGAGAGTCCACTGTTTCTTGTTTTCCAGCATCATAACTTAGCCTTTTATAAATTGAGTCATCCGTGGAGTAGTAAAAAACTAAATTGTATTAGACTGTGGGTCTCCAGGACTGGATGATAGAAATATATTGGACGATTTCTGAAGATCTGACCTTCTTCTGCATAGCAAAAGGTCCCACTAGCCCATGAGTAAAGGGTAGATCCTCATAAAAAGGCCAAAAACATAAATCTTAAATGTTACTGGTTCGCATTAAGTGGTAGAATAACAGCACTGCTCTGTGGGCTTCTTTCCCAGGCCATATGAGATCCATTAAAGGCCAAAAGTCTATAGTCAGGTCCACAAATATTTGGGGGTTGTTGTTTTAGCTCTCTATAGTATCTTGGAGTTTAAATTAAATAATAACAGCTTCAATTTGAGGGTATTTATATCTAAATTGACTGAAATGTGTAGGAATTAAAACCATTTTCACACACACGTTTTTAGGGGCTCAAGCAAACTGGAAAAGTAACATGATCATAAATTAAATTAACCTTTTTATTACTCGGTTGCAAATCCTTTGAAGTCAATGACTGCCTGAGGTGTAGAACCCACAGACATCACCAGATGCTGGGTTTCTTCCTTGGTGAAGCTCTGCCAAGTCTTTACTGCAGACGTCTTCAGCTCCAGCTTGTTCATGGGGTGTTTTTTTTTATGTCCAGTTTTGGCTTCCTTAAGTAAAATGCATGCTCGATTGGATGAGGTCAGGTAATTGACTTGACCATTGCAGAACATTCCACTTTTTTCCTTTAAAAAGTTTTGGGTTGTTTTCACAGCATGTTTTAGGTCATTGTCCATCTGCACTTTAAAGTGCTGTGTAATGAGTTTTAAAACATTTGGCTGAATCTGAGCAGATTTAGCTCTGTACACTTTAGAATTCAAGCTGCTGCTTTTGTCCGCAGTCACATCATCAATAAATTCAAAGAAACCATTAAAAATAGGGGCTCAGATTAAAGCTGAACGGCTGCACTTTGAGCTCAAAATCGTTATTTAATTTAAACTCCAAAATGCTCTCTCAGACAGATAAATTATCAACACTTTGTCAATGTCCAAACATTCATAGGCCTGCCTATACAGACATTTCCCTTTTTTTACTTGTTTATGTGTGTTTTTGTTTACCAAAAACAGTATTATTTTTATACGACCATTTTCCAACCTCTGTTCATCCCTTTGAATTTAACAGGCTGTTTTTTGTTACTGTGCCTTTAAGACTGTCATATATAAAGAACTTCTCTTTTAATATATGAGTGGGGCCAAACTGCTGTAGTCTGGAAGATATATGTAAATACTTTGGTTTTTGGTGACATCACAAAATCTATTTTGAATGGGCTGTTTCGATTAATGCGCCATATAGACGGAAGAGTGAATGGTACATTTTGAAACTAACAATGTTTACATGCCACATCAAACTCCCTGAGGAACCTAAACTGGTTCTTCTATCACAGAACCCATTGTAGAGTGTAGGTCAGCATTACTGTGAGATATTTGACCAATAAAATGCTTCCTTCTGTCTCAGGACTTCACCATGACACTGTATCTGAGGCACTACTGGAAGGACGAGCGACTCTCCTTCCCCAGCACCACCAACAAAAGCATGACTTTTGATGGCCGCCTGGTGAAGAAGATCTGGGTCCCTGATGTGTTCTTTGTCCACTCCAAGCGCTCCTTCATCCACGACACCACCACCGACAACATCATGCTCAGGGTTTATCCTGATGGACACGTTCTGTACAGTCTCAGGTGAGGAGATGTACAAATATAAATATAATTACACATTTACACATCACATTTGTCAGTATTTAGTAAAGTTAAAGGCCTTTATTACAGTTTCCATTGTTTTTGGGAGACTCGCTTTCAGGTTTCAGAGAAATCTGCAGGGATATTTTTCCACGCTTCCAAAGTTCAGTCTTAGAAGTTGGTTGCATTTTCTGCTTCTCACCATCCAAGTAGTCCCAAACACATTCAATGAGGTTGAGGTTTGGTGGTCAGGGCATTGTTCTAAGATTGACAGTGCTTCTTTGTTGGATTAGAAGTGGATTATATGATCTCTAATTTCCTCAGAAATATCTCCTGAATATTAATTAACTTGTATTTAATAGCTGTTTTGACTGGCAGTGAAATAAATGAAGAGTGGTCTTATGTTGATTGGCATCCAGAGCCTATTGTTAAATGAACTACACTGCTTTGCAGAACATCAACTCAAGGTATATGTATATAGCGCTTTTAACAACAGGTGTTGTCGCAAACCAGCTTTACAGAAAAGTTTGGGTCCGAGCCCCCATGAACACGCCTGTAGAAACAGTGGCAAGAAAAAACTTCCTAAGAGCAAGAGGAAGAAACCTGGAGAGGAACCAAAACTCCAGAAGAACCCATCTTCCTCTGGTCGACACCGGACAGCAAACAATAACAAAAGAGCAACATGACCAGAGTATAAGGTTTTAACATTAGTATAAAATTAAAGTACAAATAAAACATTTATTGTGATAACCTTTTGTATAATATTGTATTTTGTCACAGTTTTTTAAAAGCATCAAACCACTTGAGGTCATGTGTTCCAGTGATTTTACCACAGTTAAGTGGTGTTGTTAGTGACCTCTCATGGCTTATTGCGGTGTCTCGTGAAGTGGCCTCTCGTGGCTTACTGCTTTATTCGGCAACCCACATCATCATATAGAGTGAATGTTACTCTGAACCCTCTCTGTTCTGTGATGGCGATTGTGACACCACTAGGCTGAGTTTTTCATATTAATCATGAAAAGATAAGAGCGTTCAAAGTGGCACCATCAGGATGCAGCCATGGTAGCGTGCCAGAGTGCTTGTGGGAAATGTCTGAATTTTCTTTTGAGTACATGGTGTAAAAAGCCCACTTTAAATGCTGTGCTCTCCACTTCTTTATGATACTTTGGAATTGCATTGAATGTGATGATAGCAAAGCATTTGTAGGATTTTATTGTTTTTGAATTACTCTTGAGGCAAACAGCAGCTATTACTGCCTTTTAGTCTACTCTTCTGCTTTAATAGTGTGATTTCTCAAAGCTGTGATCGCATTCATTGTGATGTGTACAGAACATGATCCGAAAACATTATTAGATTTTAATTTGTTTTTGTGCCACATATTACACTGTAGACTTAAATGAGTTGACTTTGCTTGAAAAAGTCATGCAAACTTACTGCCTCGAAAAATTAAGTGACTTAACAGGTTCAAGCTTAAATAACCTTATATGAGTCATAGTTACTTTCTAATTTTCAGTGATTCACACTTCTGCAGCAAACTTCAAACAGCTCAGTAATTATAAACGGTTTCCATTGAGGTGGCAGTCCATTATATTAAATGAGTTGTTTCATATCATAAAGAACAAATGGCTTAGATAAAACCAGAATCATGGACATAAATAAAAATGAAATTGGTGCAGTTATTGTTTTACAGTGTACTATTGCTGTGGGTTGGCCTCAGGGGGCCGTGCCCACCCAATTAGATTGCTAGGTTTGTCCAAAAATTGGTTGGCATATACAGCTTGCATGATCTAAATGATTTTATGTAATATGAAAACAAAGCATTACTATGTTGTGGTAAAACAGCTCATAGTTCTGAATCCATAAACGATGAAATAGTGATAAAAAAGTCATTAAGAAGTTTATACCAGTCAAGCAGCAAAGGCACAAGTAATTCTGAATGGAGCATTCACCTCAATATACATGATGACTGAATGCTTTAAACTGCATTGAAACCTCTGCCTTGAATAGAAGCTCAAATAGACTCATATATTTCTAAATCAGTAATATTTATCTTTTTTCCTCAAACCACTTTCTACCCAACATTCCCCCCAAGTTTTAGTTGTAGCAAATTCCCCCCACCCCCACCCCCCACACCCCCTGCCAGCCAGTTTAAACAGTGCTTCCAACCTACCAAGTCACTGGACAGCTCAGCACGCCAGCTATCAGATGCCCATGTTGGCTAGCATTGCCGAAGTGCACAAGCACATATTTTACTTCCAGTCTAGTGACCATAAGGTGGTCAGAATGTGGGCATTTTTAAAAAGAGCCTATTTTTTACCAGAGAGGAATGCTTTCCAGTTATTTTTTTTCTGAAAGGCGAGATATAATATGCTGTGGTTTCAGCATTGTCATAGTTACAGTGAGCGCATTGTGTGAGCCACCCAAAATGCTTACTCCATACATACACTGTATGGATGAAAGTATTGGGACACCTACACATTATGCCTGCAAGAGCTTTTAAGAAAACCCATTCTAAATCCATTAATTCAATGTAAAATTATCCAATAATACATCCATTAAAGAACTGGGAAGCTTTCTACAAGATTTTGAAGTGTGTCTGTGGGAATTTTTGACCATTCATGCAGAAGAGCATTTCTGAGGTCAGATAGTGATGTTGGACGAGAGGGTCTGGCTTGCAATCTCCGTTCTAGTTCATCCTAAAGGTGTTTGATACAGTTGAGGTCAAGGCTCTATGTGGGCCAGTCAAGTTCTTCCACACCAAAATCACCCAGCCATGTCTTTGTGGACCTTGCTTTTTTAGCAAGGCCGTGGAAACCCATTTTGTGAAGCTCCTGATGCACAGTTTTAGTGCTGATGTTGCTTCCAGAGGCAATTTGGACCTCTTTAGTGAGTGATTCAACAGAGGATAGGCACTGTTCAGCATTCGCCATGCCCCACTCTGTGATTTTGTGTGGGCTACCGCTTTGTGGCTAAGCTGTTGTTGCTCCCATTTCAAAATTATAGCACTTATAGTTGGCCAGGGCAGATCTAACAGGACAGAAATTTAACAAACTGATTTGTGGCAGAGGGGGCATCCTATGACAGTGCCATGTTTAAAGTCACTGAGCTCTTCAGTACGACCCATTCAACTGCCAGTGTTTGTTTATCAAGACTGCGAGGCTATGTGCTTAATTTTATCCATCTGTTAGCAATAAGTGTAACTGAAACACCTGAACCCAATAATTAGTAAGGGTGTCCCAATACTTTTGTCCATGTGTATATCGTTTAATGTGAACAAAACACAAAATGGTGAACACATAGAGATGCAACTTCTTCTACACCGTTATTGGAAAAGGCCACACCATTATAAGTACAGGCAAATACAGGTGAAACACAGCTGTAAGCAGTTGGAGCAGAATGGAGCTTCTTTTATAGAGTGATGGAATTAAGCAATAGAGCAACTGAAGAGGTAGTGCACATAATAATATTGTGGCTGTGATTCGGTCGCAGGCATGAGCTGAAAGAAATATCACAGCTAGGTTGTTATTTGTCCTCGAGTGTTTTATTTCTTTTATGCATTGGTTCTGTAAAACAAAGAAAAAAGTAGAGCGAAGAAGCCCTGAACATTGTATCAAAAGTACCTTAATATTGGGAATTCCTTCCACCAAAAAAGTAGAACCCTTTTGCGTCGGAGCCATAAAACTGTCACAATATCAGGTTCAGCTCAGATTAACCTGAACATCATTTTGCTCCAGCTAGTCTGGAAAACATTTCACAGCCAATATTATTGGGTGACTTCTGTTTTGTTCCGGCTAATTCCAGTTTGTTCAGCCGTTTTGCCATCACAGCAATTGACTGAAAAGCTTGTTTGGAATTTGTTGTAGGTCTGCTGCTGCACTTTTCTTCAAATATTACATCATAGAAGTTATGTAGTGTGTCTTGTTTCTGTTTTTTCATAGGTTAAAGTAATTTAGTAATGATTAGCTTTAACATCAAGCGAGTGGTTTGCAGAATGAAACTTAATATTATTGTGAAAAAAATGTGGAAGGTTTTAATTAAAAACAACATCTCTAAATGTACTGTTGATGATATATTAGTTAAGACAGGGAAACTTTACAATGTTTACAACCTACTCTATTTTATTTCACATCTGGTCAGTCTTGAAATGCAGCTGTGACCGTTGCATCTTTTCTGTTGTCCAGGGTGACAGTAACGGCAGCTTGTAACATGGACTTCAGCCGCTTCCCTCTCGACTCACAGACCTGCACACTGGAGCTGGAGAGCTGTAAGAACTTACATTCTTCCTCATAAGCTAGTAGTCAAATACAAATGTCTTATACAAACAGTTTTATGTCAATTTTACATCAGCTTATATTCAGTTTACCTTCTATACTGACTGAAATCTTTTCCCTTCTGTTTGCACTGTGGATATGTTTCATACATAAGCAATTTTATGCTAATTTTATATTAGCTCATGTTAATTTTACATCTGCCAGCTGCACTGTGGGGAAATATTACTGTAAAAAATCACACATATTAGTCAAATGCTCTGTGTGCAGACGCCTACACAGATGAGGATCTGATGCTGTACTGGAAGAGTGGAGATGAGTCTCTCAGTACGGACGACAGGATCTCTCTCTCTCAGTTCCTCATTCAGAAGTTCCACACCAGCTCCAGACTGGCCTTCTACAGCAGCACCGGTACTACCTCTTGCCACGTTATACAGACCCCAGATGGGGCGTGGTGTATTTGTTTGTTTTAGGTAAAAATCTTGTGCACACCAGATACTATCAGGTCAACACCAGGTACTGTGTGTTGAGCACCTGATGCTATTAGGTGCTCACTACATATTATTAGGTGAGCACTCGATGCTATCAGGTGCACAGTAGATTCTACGTGGTGAGCACCCAATACTATTAGGTAGGCACCAAATGTTATGAGGTCAGCACTAGATACTATGTGGTGAGCACCTGATACTATTAGCTATGCACCAGATGCTATCAGATGCTCACTAGATACTATGCGTATCTGGTGTGCATTTTACAGAATTGGGTGCTCACAACATAACATATAGTGTGCACCTGATAGTGTCGTATTGTGGGCAAAAATCTTCTGCACATCAGATGCTATCAGATCAACACCAGATACAGTGTGGTGAGCACACAATGCTATTAGGTGTGCAGGAGATATTATTAGGTGAGCACTCGATACTATCAGGTGTGCAATAGATACTATGTGGTGAGCACCGGATACTAGTAGGTATGCACCAGATGCTATCAGGTGCTCACTAGATATTCTCTCTAACCTATTTGTAACCAGCAAAGATACTTCCAACAAAGCAAGACAACAAAGCACATTTTGTAAGTTGCTCTGGATAAGAGTGTCTGCTAAATGCTGTAAATGCAGATTCTATATGCATCTGGTGCGCATTTTATAAAATTGGGTGCTAACCTGATGCATAATAGTGCACACCTGGTAAGATTGCGTTTTAGGTAGAAATATCATGCACATCAGATATTATCAGGTCAGCAATGTGGTAAGCACCCAATGCTATTAGGTGCACAATAAATACTATTAAGTGAGCACCCGATACTATCAGGTACACAGTAGATACTATGTGGTAAGCATCCGATACCATTAGGTAGGCACCAGATGCTATCAGGACAGCACTAGATACTATGTGGTGAGCACCTGATACTATTCACTATGCACCAGATGCTATCAGGCACTCACTAGATACTATGTGTACCTGGTGCTCATTTTATAGAATTGGCTGCTCACCACATAGTATCTAGTGCACACCTGATAGTATTGTACTTTAGGTAAAAATCTCATACAGGCCATACTATGGCCTATCAGGTCAGCTTCAGGTACTATGTGGTAAGCATCCGATACTATCAGGTGCACAGTAGATAATACGTGGTGAGCACCTGATACTATTAGGTAGGTACCAGATGCTATCAGGTCAGCACTAGATACTGTGTGTTGTGCACCCAATACTATTAGATATGCACCAGATGCTATCAGGTGCTCACTGGATACTATATGCATCTGGTGCACATTTTATAGAATTGAGTGCTCAACTGATGCATAATATTGCACACCTGATAGTATTGCATTTTAGGTAAAAATCTCATGTATACCAGATACTATCAGGTCAGCACCAGATACTATGTTATGAGCACCTGATGCTATTAGGTATGGACTAGATACTATAAGGTGAGCACCCAAAACTATCAGATGCGCAGTGATGCGCAGTAGATACCGTGTGGTGAGGACCCGATATAAGGTACGCACCAGATACTACCAGGTGCTCACTAGATACTATGTGTATCTGGTGGGCGTTTTTTTAGAATTGGGTGCTCACCACATAGTATCAAATGCACACCTGATAGTATTGTGTTTTAGGTAAAAATCTCATGTACAACAGATACTATCAGGTCAGCACCAGATATTATGTGGTGAGCACCCAGTACTATCAGTTGCATACTAGATATACTATATGCTATACCCGATACTATTAGGCACTCACCAGATGCTATTATGTGCTCACTAAATATTATGTGTATCTGGTTTACATTTGGTAGTATTGAGTGCTCACCACATAGTATCTAGTGCACACCTATTAGTGTCTGGTGCACAGTAGAATTTTACCTAAAAAAGGTAAACCATGTCCATGGCTCTGTAACGTTACATTTCTGTGGTAGTGTAGTGAATGCTAACGCTTACCATAAGCACAGCGGTGTTGATAATTGGAAATGAAATGTTAGTGTAACACAAATGGCCCCCCAGTCATGGAATAATGGGCTAGTGTTAGCCAGCAGACTAACTTTCAGCTTTAGAATAACCTCTAAAAGAACTGTAGAAGAATCTGTTTATGTGCTGACTGTGTACAGCGTGTCAGCATCAACAAAGGTCCTCTGACGATATAAAGTTGGATTTTGTCAGTTCGGTTAAACGCTCATGCCTTTATTTACTCTGACACCTCTGGTTGGATTGACATTAAGCTGTTCTGGCGGCGCTCGGGGCTTCAGTTTACAACCCTTTTTTGTCTGTGGAAGTAAAGAGATGGAAAAGTAATGTTAGCACTGTTCTTATGTTACTAAGCTTGCAGCTGTTTGCTGAGACTGATGCTGAGGAGGTCTTCAAATAATGATCAAGAGGTATAAATCTCTGACAGCTGCATTTGCTTTCCCCACAATAATACCATGTGTTTGTTGAAATGGCTTGAAGAAAAGCTGGCAGTCCTCTAATGCTATTAAGATATTTTCCAGGGCTGATGGTGAGGTTTTGGTTATGGCCTTCAGATTTCTTCAAATAATAATCAAGAGTTGAAAATCTCTTGTGGGTCCATTGAAACAAGGCTTGAAGTAATGCTACCAGTGTTCTTATGCTATTAAATGGGCACTCGGTGCAAAATGAAAAGCATTTAAATATTGTTTCATCTTTGTGAACATGCCTACTTACCTCTTATAGTGGTGCCATAGCTCTCTAGAATGAGATTTTCTGGTTTACTAGGAAAAAAAACCCTTCTGATGATGTATCTTGAAGGTGGGAGGAACTTTGGAAAAACTACAACTGCTTTGGGGTGGGCTGTTTGGAATGTTTGTTTTTGTTTGCTTGTTTGTTTTCCCACTGGCTAGCGAATGCGAAAGGACAGCTAACGTTTCTGCTAGTAAGCCATCATAGTGGTTTTCTTTACCATTAGGAAAATTCCCAATGGTTGTATGACAAGTTTGCGTAGTGCATGCTGGGTATTGTAGTGAGAGAAGACTGAGAGATGAAGACACAGAAAGGATAGAAATTCATGAATAATGTAAAATGGATGAGGATGTGGGATGTAATGTTGCCCTGCATTATGACACAGTGCAACAAATAACATGCTAGTTCAGTGGTCATCAACCCTGGAGATCTACCTTCCTGCAGGTTTCACATTCAGCACAATTCCAATACTTCAGTCAGCTAATCAAGGACTTATTAAGACAAAAATTAGATGATCAAATATGGTTGGAACTAAAGCCCACAAGAAGGTAGATCTCCAGGAGCAGGGTTGGTGACCACTGTGCTAGTATTAGGCCAGAATGCCCCTCTAAGTTAGCTACTTTCCAGGGCTGATGTGAGGAGATTTTGGTGTTGGTCTTCAAATTACTGTGAATTATAATCAAAAGCTGACAGCTGAAATGTTTATATTTTCCCCACAATTTATGCGTGTTCAGACATGGCACGAAAGAGACATCTGCTTCAGTTTTGGTCAGATTGCGCTAATCTGCAAACAGTTTGTTTGTTTGTATTTTGACCCAATTTGTACAAATTTTAATCCACTTACAGTAAAATAACTCCAGCTCTGTGGAGTGAATACAAAATGTGCTCAGTATCTTGGCTTTGAACAATCTGTTCTTCTGGTCCTCTCCTTCAGGTTGGTACAACCGACTGTACATCAACTTCACCCTGCGACGACACATCTTCTTCTTCCTGCTGCAGACCTACTTTCCTGCTACTCTGATGGTCATGCTGTCCTGGGTGTCCTTCTGGATCGACCGCCGAGCCGTCCCCGCCAGAGTCTCCTTAGGTAATTAAGCCCAGGTCATAGTCATACATAGTTTTAGAACATACAGTCTCCCCTAAGAGTATTGAAATGCCCTTCTGATTCTTACTGGTGTTGGTGATGTCACTGACTGTTGTTTTGGGGCTTTTCTTCACACCTCTCACAGTGTTTCTGTCATCAAATGCTATTGTCTTCTTCAGTCAACCAGTTTGATGTCTGTTTTTAGTACACCAGTGGTTTCTTTCTTTTTGAGAACATCCCAAATTGTTGTAGTGGTTATGCCCAATCATTGTGCAATGGCTTGATTGATTTTCCTTCTTTTCTCAGCGTCAAAATGGCTTGCTTTTCTCCCATAGACTGCTGTCTGGTCTTCATGTTGGTTTATCCTTTTTAACAGCAAATACAGTTTTTACAGGTGAAACCGAGCAGATATTCAAAACTTTTGATTGTTTAAACAATTAGTCTAACAGGGCAAACCTGGGCAACAAGAAACACCTGTCAGTCATATGTCTCAGTATTTTTTCTCATTTGAAAAATAGGTGGGTTCAAATACGATTTGCTATGTTCCAGGTCGTTTAACAGGTTTCACATGGTCTAGATGTACAAATTCACCATAACATTATATTACAGACTGCAGTCCATCTGTTTCTCTTCATACTTTGTTAGCCCCCTTTCACCCTGTTCTTCAATGGTCAGGACACTCAGAGGACCACCACAGAGCAGGTATTATTTGGGTGGTGGATCATTCTCAGCACTGCAGAGATACCAACGTGGTGGTGGCGTATTAGTGTGTTGTGCTTGTATGAGTGGATCAGTCACAGCAGTGCTGCTGGAGTTTTTGTTCACTTATTTTCACTTAAAAAATCAACAAAACATGTATTTAAACTGGAGTGTTCAAACATTTGCATCACAAGGGAAATGACGTTCAAACCCAAACAAACCTGACCTGAAGGTCAAGCTGCATTATTGATGCAACTCGGTCAGGAAATCAATTTTTTCTGTTGTAGCTGAGAGCCGAAGAGTTCTAAACCTTTTCCCCATATGATTCTTTATTGGTCGAGTTATTGATGCTGTACATAGAGTGCAATAATAAGAAATCCATGACAGCATCTCACCAAGGCACTCTAAGCTTGATGTGTTTTGACTGATCAAGAAATAATTTAACAGTTTGGACATTTTCAACACCTGTTGGTATCCAATGCTCTAAAGCTGCAGAGTTCACATTGATCCAGCTGCATTTTAAAACACCTGTCTTGTCTTGTTGGACGACTTGAACTTGGTTTTAGATCATTTGTGGCGTTTGCTCACTTTTTACCTGTTTACGTTGGGATTGGGAATTACCTAATGTGCCCATTCAGAGTAACTTGTTCAGTCTGTTTAGTGAGTCTGATCACAGAACAGCGAAGTGGACCAGGGCCTACTCCACAGTCCTGCAGGATACAGTTCTAACCCTAATCGGACACACCTGTGTCTAGAGTTTGAATGAGCTGACACAGGTGCTTCTGTGTAGGGATGTCACCACAACCTGCATATCCTCTGGCATTCTAGGAGATGGATTGCCCAAACCTGACCTAATATTTCAGCTCTACAACTTACAAACTGCACTGAGTGCAAAAACTTTACTGAACTTCTGCTACAAAGAATGAGCAAACAGTACTGATAACTCATAAGTATATACAGTACTGTGCATAAGTCTGAGAACACTTTTTTTATTATTACTTAATTTAATTTCCAGTCAAAATGACTATGATATAAAAGTTATTCATTTTTCACTGTTAAAAAATGCAGGAAAATATATACAGGAAATTACACAGAAACCTCAACAACTGCAACGGTATTGTGGCCTTATTACAGCTTTGTTACAGCTTTATTACAGCTTTGTTACAGAATGGCCTATCAAAGTTGAGGAGTTTTGAAGAAAATTCAAAAGATTTTTATCTGAACATGTTGCAACAGAGTAATTACTGCATTATCTTTCTTTAGGCATCACCACGGTGCTCACCATGTCCACCATCATCACGGGGGTGAACGCCTCCATGCCCCGAGTGTCCTACATCAAAGCCGTTGACATCTACCTGTGGGTCAGTTTTGTCTTCGTCTTCCTCTCCGTCCTCGAGTATGCAGCTGTGAATTATCTGACCACAGTAAAGGACGGCAAAGAGCGCAAACTCAGGGAGAAGGCGAGAGAACAGGTAACTTGTTTTTATTGCCTGCCTCTGATTCTAATTTTTATCATTTGTATTTATCACTCGCAAGTTTGGAAATCAGATTTCACAGGGAAAAAAAACTTTTACTAGCTTATCACTGTGGAAAACCCGTTAATATTCTGCATATTCTTAATATGAATGCATTATTTTACCCATTCTGCTGCATGTAAATAAAGACACTTGGGTCTACCTGAATCAATTGGTTGAATGGTTGTTTAAGTGCTTCTTTAAATTTATGCAGTTAAACCAACCAATCAGGTCACTCTGTGAAAGCACTGACAAACTATTCTATAACTTCCAGAATGTGTTATGTACAAAACCAAAGGTGCAGTTTTTGGCTCGTGGGCTAACCACGGTTTGCATGATAACCTGCAGCCATTGTAAATGGAACACTGAATTTATGCACATTGTGAGCCAGGGACAGATTACTGACCGGTCCAGGAGGGCCAATGCTCAGAGACCTCTAGCTGCCAAAATGTACTGTTTTCAGGCCAGTTTCTGTTTTCATTTATTACTGGTGTATGAAATGTTGTTTAGTGAGTGTAGGGCTTCTGTTTTTATGTTATGACTTGGTTTGGCTTGAAAGACAAAGATAAGAAAACTTAAATTGAATTCCAATTGAGTCAAAGCCGTTACAATAAACAGTAGAATATTGGACATAGCAAAAAATAACAAATGTCCAGTGTTGGTCAAAGGACAGTTTGAACTTTGAATATTGTTTAATCTCACTTTTCAGGTCTTTGCTTTTTATAATAAAGGGGGCATCTAAAGACTTTTGTGCCCAGGTACGATTACTGAGATGTACCCTTGAGGGTACCACCCCAGTGATAAGAGGGGTACTGCCCTGTGTTTCATACTGTTTTTTCTAAGAGTGTATGAACATCATTTACATATGTATAGCCAACACAGTGTGCGTATTTTTGCCAATAATTATATAATTTAACATATATTTTTTTTCCTCATGATTTTCTTATGAATGTGCATATTTAAATCAAGTTAGGACTGGGCAATATGAGAATATATATCAGTATCATGATAAATTACGTCAGAGTACAACTGAACATGTCGAGGATATTGTCAGTACTTGAAGAACACTGACCAACTGCATATTTCATTGCAAAAAGAGCAAAATTACTCCTGTTTAACTGGAATTAGTGCAACACAGTATGCAAAATCATTGTGCTCACAGTTTTTGATAGTATTTTTTACAACATTGCAGTACAGGTTCTTTTTTTGCAACTACTCAGATGTCTGAAAAAATAAATATCGTGACATTATGTTTCCAGAAGATTTCTTGAAGTATTGCAATGTGATATATTTGTCTTATTGCCCCCCTCTAAATCAAATAAATTTAAAACATCTTTTCTTAGTATTAGACTGTGTACAACGCTCAAGGTGAGGCAGGATAGACAGCTTTACTCGTGGCAAACTGAAAACACAAAAAATACAAATAATACTAAACCATAAAATAAGAAGCAAGAGTCAAAACATGGGAAACCACTAGAAACATAGATAGCACAAACAAAGGGGTAGATATACTAGAATGAGTCCAGAAACAAGCTATTTGTGATAAAAAGTGGGTGGAGCCAGGATGTGACCAATCTCAAAGCCGGGAAAATCCAGGGGTCCTTTAGACAGTGCACTGAACATTAGGTGTGCTTCTACCTTTAACATTTTTGAGTCAAAATAGAACAAATACTGTTTTAAATCACTGTTTTTAAATATGTATGCTGGGTGGCCATGAGTTTGGTTCATGTTTTTATTTGTCTTGTGCACTGATATTTCACAGAATGTTAGGCAAGTGTTGTTGTTTAAAATGTGTTTTATAAATAAAATTGACTTTATACGATAAGCCTCATACCTTGTTCAAGACAGCATTTGTCTTTGTCTTACAGTCTCTGCCTTGCACCTGTGGCCTGTCCCACGGCAGGACTATGATGCTGGACGGGACATACAGCGAGGCTGACAGTAACAGCCTGGCAGGGTACACCCGCGCTCCCATGGCCACCGAGGAGCCCCCTGAGAAACAGGAGCGCATGGTGGTCCACCTGTCCCTAGACAATGAGTCCACGGGAACGAAAAAGAAAGGCCTGCGGGGCTTCCGCATCATCCAGAACACTCACGCCATCGACACTTACTCTCGCATGATCTTCCCTGGGGCCTATATCTTCTTCAACCTCATCTACTGGTCTGTGTACTGCTGAGCTGCCTCACAGCAGGGAATACAGGCCCAGAGAGTGCTGTAAATCAGGCCGTCCCAGTGCAATTGGAGTGCTTCTGGCTGTAGATACTAGTGAAATCTAAAGACTTCATGCTTTTTGGTGTACATGAACAAACCAAGCAAGAAACAAGACCGCTGGAAATATAATTGGGCTCTCGAATAACTGGATGTACTTCATCTCATGAAGGAGTAATGTAATGTCTGTGGAAACATCGTGAAACTTTTGACGTGGCAATAAGAGATTTCAGTGCTTGGACCCCTCACATTGCGCCGTAAAGTCTGAATGGCGCTACCACAAGGGACTTTCTAAAAGCTCAAATCTACCCAGCAGTTTTTCTTTGTGTTACAGGGCATGCACCGCTGAGTGGGATTTACATCAGCTTTTCCTCGGCTTGGCTCACTTCTCTCCTCATTTGAATTCCTGGCTGTGCTGACGTCACGCCTCCGCCATGGCTGAGCTGTATGTGTTTGGACTTTAATTGTGAAACTCTGTGCTTTCTGCAAATTCAGTGCTGGTCTCGCTACTAGCTGTTATTGCTTACTGTGGCATTCCAAAACCCACACTAAATCTTACAGTTCAAAAGAGGAGCGTTACTTTACCTCCATTCAACTGTGCCAGCATCCAATGCATGAAGTGAGGCAGGTTAATGGATTTTTGTTGGGCAGAAAAGTGACTTATACAACTAGTCCTGCGGTTTTGGTCAGTTATGCTAATTTAAAAGACAGGCACACATCCTCCACTTTATTAGAAACACCTACCATGAACTTCCCTTCACTGGCCACTTTATGAGCTGCACCTACAGTAACATGCGAAAGTCAGAGACCACCCTTTATTTGTTTCATTTCTAGTCAAAAGAGCCATACACAACAAGGTAATCATTTTTAGTGTCTGGAAAGAAAATATATATTAGAAAATCATACAAAAGCCTCAACAATTACAAATAATATATATATATTTCAGTCTTTAGTGCGTCCACCCTTTATTACAACTTCGTTTTTTTTCTAGAAACATGCTTTGTCAGGGATATTTTTCCACACCTCCAAAGTTCAGTCTTAGAAGTTGGTTGCATTTGCTGCTTCTCATGATACAAGTAATCCAAACACATTCAGTGATGTTGAGATTTGGACTCTGGGATGGACAGTGCATTGTCCATTTTCTCTATTTCTTTCTCTTAAAAATGAATAACTTGTACTTTAAGGCCATTTTTGACGCGAAACTAACTAAAGTGAGGGTGCTTCTGCTCAGTCCTATATCTTATACGTCTATATGGGTGTACAATTATAGACCGTCTGTTGTCATGCACATTGTATATTTCTCAACATTGGCCAGTTTCTGACCACAGGACTGCTGTTGACTAGACATTGGCTGGTGGACCATTCTTAGCATAAGCAGTGTGGTAGTGTGTGGTTAATATGAGTGTATCAGACACAGTGGTGTCACTGCTAGACCAAGAGTGGTCCACCACCCAACAATATCCAGCCTAAAGGGACTCTGTGCTCAGAAACTGGCCAACATTGACAAGGATGACTGATGTAAACTGTGCACCAACATACAGGCCCCGGTCTCTAAGTGTCCACCAGCAAGGTGGGGGTTTCTGATAATGTGGCCGGTGAAGGCATATTCTTATATATTATTGTTTGAGCACTTTCTATAGGACCGTCATCTCTCATGAGAAGCACATCTCATCTCAGAATATGGTTGATGGTTCGTATTTTGATATGTATTCATTTTTTGGAATACTAACACACTCATTTTAACCATCATACCATGATGTGTTTTGGAGATGCTGTACAGGGCTCTGTGTACAATGTAGTATTTAGGTGCTGCCTGTTGGCTGGGTTATATATGTTTTCTCACATGGGTGACATTTTACTTGAACTATGTTTTTTTAAGAACTTTTTTGAGCCTTCTGAGATATGCCTCCATTACTTTGCTACCTGTGTATTAAAACTCATTCATTACTGACGGAATTCAACTCTTTTAGCATCATCTATTGTGACGGTGGATGAAGAGCACTCGTAAAGGAGTGAATGAATGCTACTGTTTTCAGTGAATTGTAAAGAAATAAAATACTTTTGTGGACAGCCCTCACTTTTACATTATATACAAAGTGTATTAAACCCTTACATTGAAATATTAAAACATTAAAATGGGAAGTCAAAAAAACACAAAAAGTTATTTTTGCTTTATTGTCTTTATGCTGTTGAAAAGTCCGAAATTGGTCACTTTGAAGTTTCACACCTAGATATTTGGTGGTCCATACTTAGACCACTATTTGACAGTATATCTGAAGTAGGGATGTAAATGATTAACTGATTAAACAATAAATAAACAGTTGTTTGAGCAATGCTATCACTAAAAATGTTAATTCGGTTCCTATCAAAACAGGCAGGTTTATCAAGTTTGTTTTTGAATTGGAGATTTAATACTAGATAGGCTACAAACAGACTATTTTGCTTAAGAAAAGAGAAATTTTCTTACATAGGGAATGTTTAATGCAGTTTTAGGCTGTTTACATGATATACATGGTTATGTATGCATGTACATGTATATAACCATAGGAACCAATGAAAGCTTTTTAATTATACAGTTGAATTCGGTTGATGAACATGCTCATAAGTGTTATACAATGGCTTTAAATGGAGCTCAGCCAATCAGATTTCAGAACCAGAACTATACCGGGCAATAATTGATATTTTGATGGATTATGTGTTTCATTTTAGGCTTACCAATTAATGATTAATTGCTGACTAATAAAGTCAAAAGAATTGAACAATCACCAAACTGCAAACCAAAGCTTAACTGTCTCCTTCAGTTCATTGGTTTAAGTATGCGTGGTTGTAAAGGTTCTGAGAAGCGTGGCCAGGGTGGCCAGGGCAGTCTCTGAAATCTGTTTGCCCATCCCAGATGCCACCTCAAAATTTCTGCCATGTCATTGGCTTCCACCTTGCTGTGGGGTGGGTGTTTGCACCTCCCCAGTTCATGCATTCTTGTGTAGTGCTTTGCCTTGAATGGGAGGGTTAATTGTCAATTGCCAGGCCTATTGTTCCACCACTTTGCCACCCATGGTAACAATTTTCTAGAACTGCCACTGGGTTCTACTTCAAAGTATTCATCATACAGTAATATGCAGAAAAATTGGGCCTCATTCACCAACCACTCTTAAGAAGAAATGTCTTCTTCAAACGCTCTTTTGCAGTTTTTACGGAGATTCTGACATTCACCAATGTTTTCTTATTTGGGATTTATTCTTAGGTAAGAACAGAAGCAAAGAACAGCACAAAGGCATAGACTTTTTCTTAGGACCTTTCTCAAGAACAACTTTAAGAAAAAAACACAGCACTGAATATCTTATCATTTTGCCAATTTATTTATTTTCTCTCTGAGATGGAGCTTAAGAATACATAAAACTTTAGTCAGCAATGAGCAGCCTTAGCCGTGAGCTGTATTTGAGCCTCACCTATGCTTTAACATTCAGTTAACTGAGTTGATTTAAGTGGGTTTTGGAAAACAACCACTTTACGTTTTACTCGAATCAGTTGAGTTTTGGTAGTTTTACATTAAAGGTAAATTCCACTATTGATTTCTGCTAATTAAATGGTTGAGATGCAAATGAAGTCATTCAGAGTGGTTTAATATGAGGTTAGGTCAGGAGTCACAATCCAAATGATAAGAAAAGCCATTTTGTCCTTTCAACAAAAATCAAACCACCTTGGGAGCCACAACATTTAATGCCCAGTATGTCTCAGTTTGTGATGATGTCCTAGTTTAGGCTAAACAATATAAACTAAAACACGGATTTACTTTGCTCTGCTTTAAGCTTTAGCTATAGCTGCTTTCCTCCAATCTCTGCCAGAAAACTTTTCCTCAAAACTAGAGCAGTTTCTTGTAAAACGTCTCTCAACATTCGGCTGTCTTACGAGGCTGAGGTCGCTTCTCATTCTCCAGCTTCTTGTTCGAATTTTCCCATTCCACCTTAAATTCTGACTGAGGTGCCGAATGTAAATGCGGCACCATTTAAGGTGGAACGAGAAAATTCGGAAGAGAAGCGACTTCATCTTTTGCGACTTTTTACTGATTGACAGTCTCTCATTGCAGATTTAACTTGCCAGGAAACCAACTGCGCTACTTATAAATGCGAATAATGCATCATTGCTATGTGACCTGCAGTCTGCACAGCAATTCTCAGTTGTTGCGAAACAGGGCTTTCGCGCTTTGTTGCACACGTCACGTCTCAAAGATACTTTACTGACACAGTGACCCACCCACCCCCTACCCCCTGTCTCTATAATGAGACCAAAACCAAAGTTATAAAGTCACTAAAAACGGGTAGGACGGCTGTAACGCGCTGCGTGGACATCCACTGCCACTGGGTCTTATTTCACCGTAACTGCGCATTTTATCACAGATGAGTGGCAGCAGCGTCTCATGTGCTCCAAAGGCAGTGAATGAGAGCCTTCCAGTTCACTTGCCACATCACTTGCATTTGATTTATTAATAAAAGATATTGGAAGTAAATTCATTATGGATCATTACAAATACTTTGCTTTAAAACTTCGCAGCCCTCTGAATCGTAATCGAATCGAATCGTGAGGTGCCTAGAGATTCCCACTTCTAGTTTTAGCCCATTATCAACATTATAGAAACTCAAAAATGTATAATATCTCTGCTTATTTTGGATAGTAAATAAAATGGCAATATTTGTATTATAAACATTGGTTCCTATCACAGCGAGTGTAAAGAAATTTGGGGCAGTATGTTTCTGTACAATCAAACCACTTTAAATGGCTGCTTACATCTCAACAATTAAATGGAAGTGGAATCATTTAACTGGGTTTACATGCAGTCTTAGCAATAAAGGTGCCGAAAGCGTTCCTAAGAGTGATGCCACTGTTTAATTTATGGTTCTTAACAAAAATCTCCATCACATCACTCAGCTGAAATGTTCTGTAGGCGAAAGTGGTTCTTCTATGGCATCAATCCAGAGAAGACTTTTTGGCACTTTTATATGGGCCAGAGGCTAAACATTTTACCCCCAACACTAACATTCTAATGTTTATGGTCATCTTAAATGTTCCCAAATTAACCAGAATGAATGGAGACAGAACATTCTAGATCAGTGGCCTCTAGACCAGGGTCATGAAGAGCTGCCTTACAGCAGAGTTTAGTTCCAACCTGCGTCCAATAAACTGCCAACCCCCTTACTTAACTCTAATACATCTGATACAGCCAATCAGGGACTTGTGAAGAGGTTGATTAGCTTGAGTAGGTGTGGCAAACTGTGGTTGGAACTAGGCTCTGCAGGAAGGTAGGAAGGTAGCTCTCCAGAGCCAAAGTTGGAGACTGTTCTAGATTCTCCCTGTTCAAACTTTTCTCTTTATTTATCTGTTGGTTTTTGTTTACTTTGTTTGCTCTGCCATTTGTGGTATATATCACTGCTCTCGGAACAAAATGAGAACTTTACAGGAGAAGGAAAAAACATACTGTACTTTTAATGTAAGTCAATGGAACCAGACTTTTTTGGCCATTTCTTTTGGTTCATTCATTATGAAATTTACACACCATGTCTAAGCCAACAGACATTTTCAAATTATGTCAAAAACTGAAAAACAAAAATGGAGATACAAGGTTTTGTTCTGACAGCAGTGATATGCATTTATTTTATGGGAACTTGTCATTTTTTCACCAGCACTCAAGCCACTGTTTATCCAGCCCACTCACCTGCCTAGTGGCAGGAATCTGACCATTCAGGTTAGCTCCTATCAGAA